GACTATCTTATTAAGCTATCTATGCCAAAAAAAAAAAAACGTATAGTACATTTTTTCTAGATCTGTAACTAAAACACCCAAAGTTTATGTTTAGATTTAAAATCCAATTGCCCTCATCAAACATTTCATCCAATTTTCTCCTGCATTTTGTCCAACCAAACTCTCGGTGCCCTAGCCTGAATCTGCCGAAATTGTGCATGACCTCATCCACCTCCTTTCCGTGCAGTTCTCCGCCGGCAGGCCTAATTCCGGAAAGCTCTTGTACATCAGAGTCACAGGGATAACGTGTAAATTTTTCCAAGAAACCGAGCCTAGAAATTCGCTTCAAGCTTCTTCTTCTTGTCGACTCCGCCGGCGTTTAGAATCAAATTTCCGACGAACATCGTGCACATCGTGTGCAAAGCTCGGAGCATCCAGGAAGACAGCATCGACCACACAATCAGGGCCTGTACTTTTTAACCCGATCAGTGCAGTCAAAATCGCGTATTAAAACGTAAAAACTTACGTTTTTACGTATCCAGGCCACCAAAACGTTTCAGTTTCTACCTAAAGTCGCTTAGTCAAAAAAACTGGTAAAAACATGGGTATAATCGGTAAAATCACGATTTCGAAGCTTTTTATACTATTTTGATCATCTCATAAAAATGTGCTAATTGGCCCAAAATGATGTAATTTTTGAGTTATATAAAAAAAAAAGGAAAACATGATTCATGACTCGTTCTACAACTAGCGTCGAGATAGGGGCTTCACATTAGGTTGAAAAGACATCTAATGGTATTCTCAACAGCCCCTGACCTTCTATATGTCTTATCCCTTAATCTTTACCCGTGGCTCTTATCTGGGTTACGATAAAAGTTTATGGGTAATTGATCAAGCTCGTTTACGGGTAATTATGTAAACTCAAACCAGCTTATGAGAATTTGGATTCTTAAGCTCGTTCACTGGTTACGATATCTACGTTTATGAGCTTATTATTAAGATGTTATGAGTTTTTTCTACTTTTGAGTCAACACAAATTAGTTTATGTGTTAGATATTACATTTTAATAATGAATTTCTTGTAGTTATTCACTTATCTAAAATCTACACACTCACATTTTACATATTATATGTTGTACTTAACATATTTTAATTATTTTAGAGGGTGCGTCAAAACTTACGCTTTTACGCTTTGATTCTACGTTTTACGATTTTACCCATTTCACGCTTCTAGGTAGAATCGCGCTTTTAACTGCATTGAACCCGATTACCGAAGTGATCGTTGACTGACTCTCAGAGTGAGGCAGAGCCCGCTGAGAATGCTAGGTAGGTACTTTGTTTCGTAATTGCATCGTAACCCAACCATTAATATATTTTACATTGTCATTTTCAGTGTTGTGCTTCTGCAACTTCATCTAATAAAAGATAAACAACACCCGAAAAAGACTTCTTACATTAGATTGCAAGAGAAACCAGCAATCAAATCCTCCCAGAGTCCCACAGAACAACTGGAATTGCACAAAAGATAGAAATTGCAAAACCCTCAACAATCGTTTCTATAAGGCCTGCCATTATGACCATTATCCTTCAAGGTACAAATCGATCCCGTCTTCGAGCACTGCTCCTGTCCTGGCTCACCGTCCTATACGACCCAGTCTCCCACCACAGCCTCATCCCCTCCGGCTATCGCTTCTCTGGAAAGATCCCTTCTTTCACCCTAACCTCCGCCCACTCCAGGGCAACAACTTCTCCGGCAATCCCCAACCTAATTTCCACCCTTCCTTTCCCTCACTCTCCTCAACGCCCCTTTCAATTGCTTCTCTGGTCAAATACCTGATCGCTTGACTGGCGTCGCCTCTTTTACCGGTATTGACCTCAAGACCAACCATCTCGAAGGAAAAATCTCCAACGCTTGCGCAGTTGATTGCACTCGCTTATCTCTCAAACAAATACCCTCTTGCGTCTCTTCCCTATCCGCTACGTCTCCTCCCCTTGCAGTGCATTCCTGCGGGAGATCGAGGATGACGATGATGAAGACGAAGGGAAAGTGAAGTCTTCCTTAGATAAGAAAATGAGCATCAGGTCGTTTAATAAATGAGATGAACTTGGATTATAAAAAAATATAAAAGACTCGGATGAACTATTACAAATGACGATTCAGACTCTTTTTGCAATAAGAAATTTGTGGGTATAATCATGATTATCGAAATTAAGGTACCATAATGTTTATATCGGATATTTATATGATTAACTTCATCATGATGGCGAAAAATTATTTGGGACTAAATCGTATAAAAAATTAAATTAATAGATGTAGTTGTAATTATATATTTTTATCAATTATTTATTTAGTTATAATAAATTAACAATAATTATAAGTGTGAACATAGGTGTATAGCATACGTCTGACGTACGCTAGCCTGAACCATGAATGGGTACTACTAGTGAGATATATCTATCTAGACCATGAATTCAATCGAGTTTGGGGTATGATACTATACCCTAACCTCTAATGGATAAACCCCAGGCACCAATTTTCTAAACCCCACCCCGAAGTTTGATTTAATGAAAAACAAAAATTGACCGTTGAGATCGGCCGGAGCTTATCTAAGTACATCTAACGGCTTGATCACCTGACGTATAGTATACACCTGACGTACACCAGTCATTACCATATATATCTTGTTTATTATTACGCGTGGATTGATATTAAAAATAAAGTTAGTGAAAAGGCCTTAGTTAAAATGAGAAGGACTCCGGTTAAAGAAATTACACCAATCTTTTTAAAATAAAATTCTGAGTTGCGAACTATTTAATTACCAAATTATCCATATTATTTTATAAATTAAATTACAATAATTCGGACACTACAACCCATCCAGAACTACAAATATTACGAATCTTTGTTACTGTCTCAGTAATTCACTCTTGGAAACCTAATTGTAAAGCAGATTGAGTGTAATCATTTTTGTTCTTTTTATTATCTGAACTGAAAAGTAATTGTTACGAATAAAATGACCTTTAAATAATAAATAAAAAACAAAAAGAAACAAAAGCAAATGCTTGTTCCATGACGATGTGGTGTTTTTTCGGTTCCATGCGGCCGATTAAAAAACACTGATCGTTCGGCATTGGTTGTTCAATGATGGTGACACTACGAAGAAACACTGACTTTCGGCATTTGCAGTTTTTTTTTTCAATTAGCGGTGTCATCATTGGTGACAAATGGCAGAGTTAATTACGAGCTTTTTCTTCCAATCATATGCAATATTTGCTTAATTAAACAATATAGCTCCCCTCTGTCTTGTGGAGATCATTACGTGTGGGCAACTTACACTTGGCTTATTGTTTGTTCAAAAAAATTTCTGTTGGGCTAACATGAACAGACCTCAGGGGGATAAGAGTCTGATTAGGCCCAAACCCATGAGAAGAAATGAGGAGGCTGACCCAAACAAGTGAATTAGGGCCACACTAGTTCGAGTAGGCGCATAACGACAAAAGGGGACGAGGACAAATGGTACGGAGTAGGAAAGCCAAGAAGCGGCCACCTGGCAGGCATGGTCCCTGCTAGGCGCCTCCTTAGGAACGTCCAGGAGCGGCCACGTACAGGCGCCCGACCGTGGACCGTACCAAGCATTAAATGAGGTGATGACGTGGGGCTGAATTCCAGGAGGACGGTCGGGGCCTCGACGAGTATAAATAGTATTCGGTAGGTGGCATTTACTCAGATTGGCTTCTCTCACTAAAACTTGGGATATCACTTATCTCTCTAGATTTGGCACTGACTTGAGCGTTGTAGTGCTAACGGGCATCCCGAAGCCCTTAGGAGCTTGTCTTTACAGGATCTTGGCGCCCGTGTTGCGAGTCAGGCCGACCTCATCTCGATCAGTGGGACCAGGATATCTTGGTTCAAACAATTTCTTTTTAGAAAAAGAAGAAATATTTAGCACTGGAGACCTAGATTTAACAAATTCTGGAGGTCCTATTTCTAGAATAAGATGTGGTCTACTTTTTTTTAATGAACATCTTAATATGGATTATTAACGGATCGTTGGAACTGACTGAATGCTTATGTATGGAACATTATACTTAGGGATCGTTTGTCAGAATATGAATTTAAATCTATAGATTGTCAACAATCTAAAGATTCTAACTCTTCGGATTGTTGAAAATAGATTTTAAAATGTTTATTGTTTGGTAACTATGATTGTTAACATTCAATGAAAATAAAATTTTAATTTTATATTAAATAACATGTTTATCCTTCCTTAATAAAAAATTAGGGTGGTTCGAAAAATATTAAAAATTTTGTTGATAAATATATTTAATATGATATATAAATAAAAGAAAAAGAAAACGTAGGAGAAAAAAATATCACGAATCAAGATATAGAATCTCTCTGATTATGAGAGAGTTTATATCCGTAGATTTTAGAGATTTGAAATATCTAAAACTAAAATCCACAATACAAAAAGCAACAAAAAAACATAAATTTCTACAAAATCTACAAATTCAATGAATTCACGCCCTAAATCTCGTTCTCCAAACGAACCCTTAAATCCTTCCTGATGGAATAGATTTGTATTTCGTAAGTATATGTGGAATATATTAGAAGTCGAAATAAGTTAATTTGCCTCCAAATTTATCTTTCGAAATTTTTTGCATGTTTATCATCACCTGAAATAACGGTTGTTTATCATCACCTGAAATAATTTGTTCTTTTTAGTGACAATCATTGTTTGATCGAGATCTCGCAACACTTATAGTCAAACTTTTAAATCCTCCTCTACAAACTTCATTAGACAGATAAATCAAAGAAAATAGGGCATGGAACTTCATTAGACATATAAGAAAGTCGGATGAGGTACTGAAAGGAACAGAGGGAGCTCAAATGCTACAACACTCAGATTGACATGAAGGAAAACAATGAACTCAATTTGAAACGAAACCCAGATCATATAAACAAAATTTTATTTGCGCAGTTGAAACATGGTTGATCGATTCGTTGTGCAAAGTGGAAGGTTAGAACTGTGGCTTAAAGCATTCAGGAGGCATATTGCCGTTGAATCTCTTATAATCTCTGCAGTAATCGTACATCATGTAATTGTCTCTCACCCACTTCATCTGCCCTTGCTTGGCATAGCTCAGCTGTTTGTATTCAGGAGATGTCCACCAGTTAGCCGGTGAATTCACTGCACATTGATTGATACTAGAAGGTCCCGTCCACCTGCAAGCCCTAGCTCTGAAATTGCGGTACCTGGCTACGAAGGGAGCAGAGTTCCAATCAATCTTCTCCAATCCGCCTCTGGTTGCCCAGTTATCAGCATTCCACAGACTGGAGTAGACTGTCATCCCTTGTTTATTGGGGAATGGAACCCCCTGGCTCTCGTAGTTGCGGTAAACTCTGATTGGCACACTGTCCACATACCACCTACATTGTTACAAGAACCAGTTGGTATCAATAACTCGAGTTGTTGGGAAGAGAGACGTTCGATGTTACTATCTCAATTGAACTTACACAATGGCGGCAGGGTTCCAGTGAATGGTGTAGTTGTGGTAATCAGCAGTCGGGTCGAACCACGGGTAGAACTGTTGTTCCCTGCTTCCATTTCCCTGTACGAAGACGTTGGTGTGGATGATGTAAGGTTGGCCGGACACGTTTCCCAGGAACTCGAAATCGATCTCGTCGTGTCTGTCCCCGGTGGATGATAACTGCCGCCGTACATAGTTTGATCACATAAGAAAATGAGTACACATTGATTATAACATTTTTCACTTCCTCTGCATTTTTCTTAACTTACATAATATGCAGTAACTGTTCCTGCAGAGTTCCCAGGCACCAACTTGACCAACATTTCGATGCTGCCGAACAAGAATGCCTGATACGACTGGATCCCGGAACCTGAGGATCAACGGATGCAGTTTTAAGTAAGATGATACTTGGTAATTTAGCAGATTAGCAAAGTAGGTAACTTTTGATTACCTGATGTTTTATCCAGTACCAGATTGAGGTCTTCCCCGTTTCCTGAGATTGCTGATTGTTGGCCGCCCCAGTTGAAGTAGATGCTTTCGTAGAAGTTTGCATCAACTGAGGCTGGACGGAGTGCCAGTGCTAATGCAAATACAGACAGAGCAACCAGTATTGGGGAGTAACTGAAGCTTGCCATTTTAATCAGCTAGTCCAAGAGCCAAAAGGTTTCTGCTAGCTAGCTAGCTCACAGTTTCTCTCAGTTGAAATTATCGGTGGAGGGGGTGGAATGGTGGATGCTTTTCCAGGAGTATTGTGAGAAATGGCTTTTATAGGATCTGATCAGCAAATGATGGGGGTTGTCTACTTCAAATATTCTATAGTTTCAGAGAAGAGATTGACCATGTATCCGTCCTCTTAAATTGACATTCCTGACTTGTTCAATATGATGCTCTGGAGTTTGGTGAATGAGAGAAGTCGTCTTGTTGCAATGTGGTCGACCAAATTGCGGACATGGGGACTGCCTGCTGAACAAATATGTAGTATTAGGGCTGGCAGAACGGTTTTCGGTTAGCAGTTAACCGGTCGGTTATGACCGAACCGACCAGTTTTCGGCTAACCGAAAACCGACCTGTATTGGCGTCGGTCGGTTGCCGGGGAAGAGGAGGAGAGGCTCGGCTAGCCGATTAACCGCGGTCAGTAACCGGCGGTTAACCGGCTAACCGACGACCCCGCAGCCCTACCCAAAACAACCGCTTCCCCCAGCCCCAAAACCACCCCGCTCCAAAGTCCAACCCACCCGAAAGACCAAAACCCCTCTCCTCTTCATCTAAAATCAATCCTCAAGAGTCACAAGAAAACAAAAACAAAAAATTAGCCGAAAAACCCTACCTAAAATCAATCCTCAAGAGTCGAAAAACCCAGCATGCAATCCAAAATCCTACCTAATTCGAAGCTGTTCCGGAAACCCAGAAGCCAATGGAGCAAAGGATTTAACCTCGGCTTCAGAACCAAAAAATCAAAGTCGACGAACACGAGAAGTCTCTAGGAGCAGAGGATGTAAGCTCTGCTTCGTGAACCCAGATATTGTAGAATCGAAATCCTTAGAAATCGAATCGTTACGGGCTGGATCCAAGAACGACAGCTCGGCGAGGGGAGTTGGAAAGACGGTTCTGACGACGGAGAGCTGGCCTCTTCCGACCATGTTTTTGCCATTTAGAGACGGAAGGACGGGAAGCAGAGCAGGTCTGCGCGAAGGGACGAAGACCAAGAGTCCTTACCAGAGTCGCAATCTCTCGATCTCTCTGCCAGATCCTCGGTGGAAAGCCTCTGTTCTTGTCGATTTTCTCTGAAAAGGAAGAAGAGAATCGAGATAGAGAAGGGAGAGAGATAGGTTAGAGCGGCGGGTTTCTCTGGATAGGGAGAAGAAGAATCGAGAAGTGGAGAATCGAGATAGAGATAGGTTAGAGCGGCGGGTTTCTCTGGATAGGGAGAAGAAGAATCGAGAAGTGGGAGGGGTTAGAGCGAGTGGTGCAGAATTTTTGGTTTTTTTAATTTTTTTTTTTTTTTTAGAAAAGGTAGTTTTTCGGTTGGCCGGCTAACCGAGCCTAAAACCGAAACCGACCGGTCGGTTGGCCGGCTAACCGTGATCACTCTCACGGTCGGTGGTCGGCAGCTAGAGGGGGTGTCTCGGTTTAACCGGTAACCGGGTTTTCGGTTTTCGGTTAAACCGAAACCGACCGACTGCCACCCCTATGTAGTATTATAGAATACCCTTTCGGGTTCGGTGTTACGGGTAACCCGAAACCAAGACCGAAAGTGTCGGGTCTCGGGAAATCGAGAACCGATATGTTAATGGCAAAAGTGGATTTCGGGTTCTATTGTAGTCCCGAAGTTGACCCAACCCACTCATCATATGCCCAGGCTCAGACCCTACCCACCTGAATCCCAACCCTAACCCACCCGAATTCTAAACCCCCTTCCGCGTTCCACCCTCTAGCTCCAACCCCTCCTTTCCTTCGTCGAGACATCGACAATCAAAATATAAAAAACAACCTTTTGTCCTCTTTTTAGGTTGCTTTAGGTTTTAATGTGGGTTTTCGGGTGACCGAGTCAGAAATGATAATCGTATCTTCGGTGCTCGGTTACTCGATAACCGTTTTGGGGTCTAGTATGATTCCTTATATTGTTTTTTTTTTTTGGTTCGGGTACATGACGTGTTCGGTTTGGGTAATAAGAATCGACCCGATCTCCAGCCCTAGAATCCCCGAGGTTCCATCCTGTGGCTAGCTGCTGACTTCTTCCTTAAAGAGAGTGGTGAGTGGGGTTTGAGCCAGCCAGGCTGGGACGCGGTTGGAGTGCATTTGGTGGGAGGAACCTTAACATGATCGTGCATCGGACTAAAGCAATTGTCAAGGCGCCGGCCGGCCGGCAGCTTTGCTAGCTCCATGACGTATATACCTAGGAGTCAATATCTTAGTATTAGACTCCGGTTAGATGCATGTAACAAGTTTGGCTGAGTATTTACGGTTTCGGATTCTAAATTCAGAGACCACGGTTTTAGAATTTGCAATGTACAACAAACAAACTTGATAGTGGATTTTAAATAATGGGATTGTTATTCGTCGGGGTTAAATGCACCGGGTGCCACTTAACTATTGTTAATGTTGCACATTCACCACTTAAATCAATTTTGTTGCAACTAAAGCATATAAGCGGTATTTCGGTTGCAACGTCACCATTTCCGTCGAGACACCTAACGGTAAGTACTGAAATGGTAATTTTTCGATACATGCTGGCATTACATGTCAACACAACGGCTGAGTCACACCACATCAAACCCTGGGCCTAGCTGCAGGCCTGCAGCGACTCTGGCGGTGGCGGAGGTCTTGCCCTTGAATCATACTCTTCTTCGTCTCCGTCGCTGGCGCAGGATTGCAAGCTGCAGCTGGTGTTCCCAGCTGAATCCATTTTTCCGAGCCGCTGTAAAAAGAAGAGAGGAAGGAAGGAAAAGAGAGAAGCCAGAGGAGGAGAGAGTAATACACAGAGAAGATACGATTGTTGTTAAAAGAAGAAAAGAAGGGAGAGACAGCCCTTGAAGCTAAGAGGTGTAATTGAGTAGATTGCCAGGAGCTATAGTGGCAGGAAAGAAGGCAGAGATGGAATCGAAGACCAACCGGCCACTTGCTTTTTAGCTTATCTTTCTCACTTTGCTTGCTTGCTTCCAATCCAATTGCCTATATTCTGTTCTATGCTGCTGTGCTTGTCCTTTTTAGATAGACGGGGTGATCAGCTTTTTAGACTAGAAAAAAGCTTTCCATATACATTAGAAAATATATGGTTTTAGTCTACTCTGATATGCTACAAGTCCTCTCTGTTCTCTGCTCTATCAGCTACGCAAAGAACCAAATGGGTAAGCTAGCTATAGCTATTCTTATGTAGTGTGAGGCTATGGAGATTGGAGAGGAGGAAAGAAATGGAAGCAACAGAAGTAAAGAGGGTATGGGGCCGGCTAATGAGGAAATACAGATCTCAGGAAAAGATGGCTTCTTTTAGTTTCAAACCCTTTTCACTACTTACCCTTTTCCTCCTGTTCTCCCCTTCATGCATCTCTTTCGTCTCGTTTTTGCAGGAAAGGAAAGGAATATTTTGTTTGGTTTGGTAGTTTGTAAATTTGGGTGCTATTCCAAAGAAAAGCTACCCAAAGAAAGAGAGAGGGAGAAGGAAAAGGAAGAGAGGATGAACTGTTGGGATGAATAGCTTTGAAAAGCTATAAATGAAATTCCTAATTAATTATCCAGTATTTTCCCATAATACATAATTAAGATGGATAATTAATAAAAGGAATATTATGGAGATAATTAGGAATAATTATCTTAATAGATTATATTTTAATTATGGGAGTAATTATCTCCCTAATTAAAATATGACTTATTCCCAAAGAAAGAGAGAATATTCTGGGTTTTCTGCTCCTATAAATAGGAGACGCCCCAGACCCTCTAAAAACACCTCAGAGAGCAGAAACACGAGATAGAGAGTGAGTTCATAGAGCTCCGGTTTTCGCACAAAACCGATGAGCAACAAAAATTAGAGTGGCTGTATTATCCCGGAGGCGACCGGCTGATAGTCTGCCGTGCGCAACGAAGGCAGTGCCGCGAACGTCTTTAAGAGAGCGACCTAGTCCGCGACTCAGCCATATCGGTAACCCTAATTTTTCTGTTCGGTTTCTAACAATTTTAAGACGTTGGTTGCTGTCATGTGTACCGAACAGAATGCCGATACTGGCTGGATCATTTACTATTGTCGTTCGCTTGAAAAAGGGGCCTATTGCACTGAGTCCGCAGCGCCTCGCACTTGTGTTTCTATTCCCATATCGATCGCGATATGAGCTCTTGTGCGAGAATCGGGGATTAAATTGCTTGCTTGTAGAAAGAGAAAGAAGTTGCAGCCGAGCTGGAACACGAATTCGGAGGCCACGACAAGCATGTGGAAGAGGTGTTACGGTGCAAGAAATTGATGGGTTCAATAACCATCAATTTAATTAAAATCTCCGAGGAAGTTTGGTGAAAGAGGTGTCCGAATGGTGGACTGGTAATCATCAGCTCGCCGAAGGGAAATTGATGAAGATGGTAGTAAAAATAATAACCATGGGAAGAGAAGCAGATCGAGTTGGAGAGGCTTCGCACACTCCAGAATCCAGATCGAGACTACACCTAGCCGGGAATTCGAAGCAACAAGAAACGTGTTTGACCGGGACAGAAAAGAAAGGGTCTCGTGATCATGTGCGTGCTTGTTCTTGGATCGGAGTCGATTCCAGGTGCTTGTGGCCAATCGCATCAGCGAGAAGAACATGGAAGACGCTATTAGTTTAGCGAGGATGGTGGTTGGCTTGGTTCAGGAAACTCGAAGGGCGCCGCTGAAAGAGATGTCATATCACTTGGAGAACCCTACAAAGGTTCACTATGGCTGGAGGCTTGAACCATGCGTGCGATAGAAAGTGATTTGAGCTCGCAAGCTTGCTCGATCATTGGGCCTCTCAATTTCGTCCATGCCAAAATAATAGAGGAGGGCCCGTCTAATTGAACTGCCAATGCCCAACTCTTCAGCGAAAAAGGCAGAAAGGTAACGAAGTCAAGGGGAAGGATGGAAGATATCCGCCCTGGTAAAGTGGACCTGGGATGGTGGACCCAAGACCCAAGT